TTTGTTCCTTGTTCCTCCAGGAATGAGTTGGCTTCATGAGTTCCAATTAAAAAAAATGCAAAGTAGATTTCATCTAGAGCTTACGAATATTTTTTCCTGCTTGTTGTATGGAAACTGGTTGATTCTCCTTCATTTGAGCCCTGGTGGCGCGATGATTAGAATGCAATACTGTGCCCACAGTCTGGAGTTTGATCCTGACAGGACTCAAGGTTGACTCAGCCTTCTATCCTTCCAAGGTCGGTAAAAAAACAACAACAACGTAGATTGTTGGGGGCAATATGCTGACATTATAAACTGCCCAGAGAGTGCTGTAAAGCACAACGGGATAGTATATAAGTCTAAGTGCTATTGCTTATTTGTAAATGTGAAGGGAAGGTTTGATGGACATGAGTTGTAAAGGACTTCCTGCATTAGCAGTAAGATTGAACAAGATCTTTCAGCTCCATTATTCTGTTTTATGAATGAGACAATATGTGGACAAAGCAGTTTCCACTGTGGAGGAATGTAGTCTGGATTCCCAGGAAGGAGGAAGTACATTCCAGAGGAACAAAAGACAGCGAAGTTTAGATAGTCTGAGTGGGAGGAGGAGAGCCATAACAGCTCCTCCCTAGGAATTCTCAGACTATATGTTTAATGGTGTAAGTAGTTTGCTTTAGTTTGGCAAGATTTCTAACTATGGGTGAGGAACAATAAAGGAAACTGCTTGGAAGAACCTTCGTGTGTCTTCCTTGATCCACATTCAAATCCTCTGGAAAAAGCTGACGGAGATTGTGGCAATAGCTGATATTTATAACTGCTTATTTATACCATTCTTGAACCATGCAAGTGTGGTTTGCTAAATATGTACAATTTTCATTTAAATTCAGCATACTTTTTACACACTAATAAAAAAACAGAATCGGCAAACCATGGATGCCTCATGAATATTTATAACAGGCAGAGACTCCAGATAGAAATAATAAAAATTCTCCATCTAGTGGACAGATGAGCTATCACATCTCTGGATCTTGGGTGCAAGGCTGACATTTATGCTGTGATAATCCAAAGCAGCAATGAGTTTGCAGTTTTTTTAACAAATGAAAGGCTTCAAAGTCAGTATTAACAACAAAAAAGGTGATAGCATGCATACTTTGCATTGGATTTTCTTGAGTTTTGCAGATAAACATAAAAAGCTTTTTGTAAGAATTTAGGAACATTAAGATTCAGCATTATATATTGATTAATCCCAACTCTTTCCCACCTGAAGACCAGGTTTTGGCATCTATGCAATATTTAAGTCTAAAATAGTAGACATGACCACATCAATGCATGTGTTCATAAATCTCTGTGCTTTCAGGTCATTTTTCCTGATGATTAAAATTGTAAATAAGAAGATATAGTTTGAGAATGTAACTGGATTGTTTATGGCTCATTGTCCTCAGCAAATATAGGGAACTAGATATACTCAGTAAATAATGGTTCTATTAGTTATGCTTTAGTACAGGGGTGTAAAACTGACGGCCCACGGGCCAGTTGCATCATATGAAGGCCACGCCCACCCCAGCTCCTGCAATGCAAAAAAAGTCACGATAAGTTGCAACACGTCACGTGACATGGCGAGTTTGATACCCGTCCTTTAGTATGTTATGTGATTACAGGTAGTCCTTGATTTATAACCATTCATTTAGTGACTGTCCAAAGTTACAAAGGCACTGAATAAAGTGACTTATGGCTGTTTTTCACACTTACAACATTGCAGCATCCCAACGGTCACTTGATCAAAATTCAGACATTTGGCAACTGGTTCATATGGATGACGGCTGCTTTGCCACTTTTGCGATCTTCTGACAAGCACAGTCAAAGGGGAAGCCAGATTCAATTGTGGCTCAATTGTGATTGTAAGTCAAGGACTAACTGTATGTCCAATAATGGAATAGGAAGTAAAACTGCAACAACTGTAAATAGGTGCAGGCATAAGCAGATAGAGGTCTGCTAGTAGATCTCTAGTGTTATTGGTAGTTTGTTCCTGATTTTCCATGATATGACAGATGTAATTTCACTAGGATTATTTGTCACTGAATTTTTGTGAATTTTCAGATGGTTATGCGTCTGCCATCATATCTCGCCACCTTGTCTTTTGTCAGCTTCTTTGCAATTGGTTATTTTTCCCCCCATCAACCAGTGTCTTCTCCAATGACACCTGCATTCATATTATATTTAAACTTTATTAATAACTATTTAAATAGATAAACTTCATTTAGTACTGAGCAATATCTTCTTCCTCATGATATATTCAATGGTCTCCAGCATCATAATTCAAATTCTCTTCCTTAAGCCTTTCCGATGATCCAGCTTTCACGGCTACATGTTACAAATACAAAAACTATAGCCTTGACAATATATACATTTAAAGTCAATATTGATGTCTCTGCACTTTTTTCTAGAAATGACTCAGTCATTCTTCCAAGTGGGGATGTTTCTTTGTTTCAAGGCTACTGTCACCATTCATGTGAACTCTTCATCCTAGCAAGATAAAGTCTTTATTATTTCAACTTCTCCTCTGCCTATTTGATTATTGACACAATTTGTGGAAAGGAGGGAATATTAAGCAGCAGATAGCTTTTCACTTTTGACAAGAGATTTCAAAGGTTTTCATCACTTCCAGCCATCATAGTGTTGTCATCAGCACATCTGAGTTTGTTGATATTTCTTCCAACATTTTTAATCTCAATTTCCTCTAGTTCAAGATTTATCAAGATACGTTTTTTGTATACAAATTAAGCAGATAAGATTATGTATTACAACCTTGCACACTTCTTTTGTTGTTCAATTGTTCCATACAGGTAATCCTCGATTTACGACCACAATTAAGCCCAAAATTCCTTTGTTAAGTGAGACAGTTGTTAAGTGAGTTTTGCCCCATTTTATGACCATTCTTACCACTGTTGCTAAGTGAGTCACTGCAATTGTTAAGCAAGTAGCACAGTTGTTAAGTGAATTTGGCTTTTCAATTGATTTTGCTTGTCAGAAGGTCACAAGGTCAGAAGGTCACAAAGTCAGAAGGTCACAAAAGGTGATCACATGACACTGCAGTTGCCAAGTGTTTGAATTCTAATCATGTGACCATGGAGATTCTGCAATAATTATAAGAAAAAGGGTCATAAGTCACTTTTTTCAGTCAATGAATGAACTGTTGTAAGTTGAGGACTACTTGTACATCATTCTAATTTTGGCTTTTTGATCATGATACTAATTCTTAAAAAATGTGATTGGAATATTTATGTTCTTAAAGATTGCCTACAATCTACTATGATCTACATAATCAACAGCCTCAATATAATCCATAAAGCAAATTAGACAACTTTTGGGAACTCCCTTTTCTCTTCCAGGCACCAAATATTAACAATATGATCTCAGGTCCCTCTGCCTCTTTTGAATCCGGCTTGTACATCTGGCTTTTCTCATTCCATGCATTACTGAAATCTTGATGGCAAAAATATTAATTTAGTAGGAGATTAAGTGTGGTTCTATTAACATTATTTTGCACTGTCCTATAAACTGATCTTTTACCATCCCTTAGCCACTGCTCTGTTTTCTATACCTGCTTACAAACTACAAGTAGCACTTTAACCGTGTCACCCTCTTGTAGGTTTATAAAAGTACAGCTGGTAAATATTTAGCGCCTGCAGCTTTGTTATTAGTAATATTTTATAGGACCCCTTTGATTACTTTTGCAGAATGTTTGGCTGTAGTTCAGTAATCAAACCTTGCATGTATCAGTGATTGGGAGATTATTTATTCCATATATTTGATGGTTACTCCATATATTTGCACCATTTTTTTCTCTCCAGTAAATCTTTGTGTTCTTTGTCTTTTGTCATGCTCATCGTTGCCCAAATATATTTTTAGAGATTTTTTCTAATTTTCATCTCTTTTACTATTACTCATTTGCTTGTTCTTCGCATTATTTATAGAACTCTTTGATTCTTCTTGTTGTTCCCTGAAAAGATTTACTGGGGCAAAATTCTGTCTGTTTCTATCGCCTTTTACATTCTGCCTTTTATTAGATATTTTCAGTATATCAACAGAATTATTTTACCTTATTTTCTGTTTTACATTTTGGGTATTTTATTTGCTTCCTCTTCAATGATACCATAAATGTCAGTCCTTCAGGCATTGTTTTTAACGAACCTAATCCATTGAATCTAATCCTTTTCTCCATTGCACAGTAATTTGGAATATTTCTGAAATTATATCTTATTGGGCTGGTGATTCTATTGATTTCCTTTCATTATAATTTAGCAAGGAGTTTGCAATCTGAACTGCAGTCATCACAAGGCATTGGTTTTGCTGACTGAATGGAGCATCCTTATTTTTGCTTGTCTAAGTGTTGCTTGTCAATACGATTTTGTCCAACAACCAGGAATAAGACACTCAAAAGGCTGGACAATGTTTGATTTTAAGACTTTGCCTGCAAGACAGAGAACATGAAGAGAAAAAAAGAGGGCGTGTCTTCTTTTTGTCAGTCGTCTGGAAACCTTGACTCAAATTAAGATCATTTCAGCAGCTGAATTCTTATCCATGTCTCGATCTGCCTTTATTCTGCGATCTGCTTGTTTGTCATTTTAATGATCCCAATTTTTGCAGAACATCGGGTTAAAGAAGTCAGTCATAGTTTCCTTGTGCAGTAAGAATGGACAGGACTGCAACTTAAACGCCAAACCTCTTTTGAGTAACGACTGTTTCTTAAGATAAGGATTGCACAACAAGGTGGGCTAAACTGTAGTTATGGCCAGCGATGGGTGAATTTAACCTAAGCTAACCATTCCTTTATGGTTTAGCGTGTTATAAAAAAAATAAATTAGAAAATGAAGTCGAAAGCCATGGAAGTCAAGATGCCGCTTGGAGAAAGACAAAAAGTAAGCGAGGGCCACGCCCGCTTCTGGCCAACTGTCAAGCAGAAGCTGCCGGGAAGTGCCGGCGCGATCGGGGATCGCTTGCTTTGGCCTACCCTTGCCAGCGACGCCTGCTGAGTGGCGGCGATGGAGGGAGCGCAGGAACCGGGAAAAGGAGACGCCACCGAGAGGGTTTCGGCTCCCGATCCGCCGGCTGAGGAAGGGGGAATCTCGCTGCACAATTTTTGCGGACGTTTAGCGGAGCACATGGTGCACTTCCACGCCATGCGCCTGCAGGACTCGCTTTTCCTTTGGGTCGGGGACGGCCCGGAGCTCAGCAACTTGGCGGTGGCCATGTGCAACCCCCGCGTGAGTTCCGGATCTTTTGCCCCTCTGGGGTTGCAGCCTGTGTGTGTGTGTGTGTGTGTGTGTAAAGGAAGTTGCAGACGATGAACATCATATTGCAAAGTGGGGTAGCTGCCGGTTGGCTCCCAACATAGCTAGCAATCATTTTCTCCGCAGATGCAACCCGCGGTCTTTTTTTTTTTTTTTTTTTAATTTAACAGAGCTGGGCTGAGGTGAGCTCCTGCAGCTCAGCTTAAAGGTAGTCCTCAACTTACGACCACAATTGAGCCCCCAAATTATGTTGCTAGGTGAGAAATTGGTTAAGTGAGTTTTGCCCCATTTTATGACTTTGCCTGCCGCATTTGTTAAGTGAATCTGCTTTCCTCATTGATTTTGCTTGTCAGAAGGTCGGAAAAAGGGAAATCACATGACTCGGGGACACTGCAGCCATCGTAAATCTGAGTCAGTTGTCAAGCGTCAATGTAAATGGTGTGACCATGGGGATGCTGCAACAGTCAGAAGTGTGAAAAATGGTCATAAATCACTTTTTTACTGCCGTTGTAACTTTAAACACTCACTAAACGAACTGTTGTAAATCGAGGACTACCTGTATTTCCCCAGAGGTTGATTCCCACAATTTCCACAAGGACATCACGACCTTAAAATACTCTCGTAAGAAAAGTGTACCACCCCTCTTAGAGCAGTGTTTCTCAACCTTGACAATTTTAAGGCATGTGGACTTCAACTCCCAGAATTCCACAGCCAGCATTGCTGGCTGTGGAATTCTGGGAGTTGAAGTCCACATGCCTTAAAATTGTCAAGGTTGAGAAACACTGTCTTAGAGGGTCCTGAGGAAGGGCATATCATCCCCAGCCCTTGGGATCATTTTTGTATAGGTGAGCAGGAGCAGCCCACTTTCGAATTCTTGCTAAGAAAAGAACTTGAACAGAGCCTGGTGCTCAACTCTAGGGAGGTACAACTTAACATATTTTCCTGCCTCTCTTGTACTGATTTTTTTCTTCCTCTAATGCACCTCCTGGTTTGTGGGAATGGAACATAATCAGATTCTTCAGGAAATCTGTTTTCCAACTTTCTGGCACCAAAATAAAGAATGGGTTTTTCTATTTTTTTTCCCCTTCAGGAATGGACCCTGGGATTGATCACTGAGATTGTTTGCTTTGACAGCCTCAGCAATCATTATTGAGGCTAAGCTGCGGGTTTGTACATCACTCAGAGCTACACTGCATTATGGTTCTGTGTCATTTGGGGATGCAAGACACATTTTCTCATTTCGGTGGAGTCATAACTTGATAGGTTTGCGGGCTTATTGATTAAGATCAGTGAATCTGATGCTATCCTAATTTTCAGGCTATGTTCATTTGACATCAGGAAACAGTTGAGCTAGGTATGTCTAGCCCAGGGGTAGGCAACCTTGGTTCTTTTATGACTCGTGGACTTCAACTCCCAGAATTCCTGAGCCAGCCATGCTGAGGGGAAAGGGAGAGTTTCCAAGCTGAGCCATGTTGGCTCAGGAATTCTGGGAGTTGAAGTCCACGAGTCATAAAAGAGCCAAGGTTGCCTACCCCTGGTCTAGCCTGTCGAAGAGAAGGGTTAATGGGGGGACATGATAACTGCCTTCCAGGATTTGAGGGGCTGTCTCAGAGAAGAGGGGATTCTCCAAAGCATCAGAAGGCAGGACAAGAAGTAATGGGTAGAAACTTGTTAAAGAGAGATACAATCTAGAAGAAAGGAGAAATTTTCTGACAGTGAGAACAATTAATCAATGGAATTGCTTGACTCCTGTGGTTATGGGTGCTTCTACATTGGAGGTTTTGAAGAACAGACTGGACAACCATTTGATTTGGATGGTATGACTCCTGCCTTCATCAGGGGGTTGGACTAGAAGACCTCTGAGGTACCTTCCAGCCCTATGATTCTAATGTATCTTAGTTTCTGAAACGGAGGCCACAGGATTGAGCTGATATTGGTGTCAAAAAAGGCTATATACAACATTTTATGTACCAATTATCTATAATCAGTGCTTATTATTTCACAGTACTTTTTGTACAGTTTTGTTGTTGTTTCCCAGAAGAAACTCCATTTGGCTACTGTTTTGTACTTTTTTAACAGGAGCTTCTAAAGATTGTTGGCATATATGCATAATGAGAGCATATTATGCCTAGGAATAAAGGTATTCATGGATAAATATGTAAGGAGTGCCTGTTGTTATAATGGCATAGACATCTGCTCCTAATTATGATGGTGGTACAGTGATGAATCGTGCCACAATTACCTTTTGTACTTGCGTTGTGACACTGTAGTAGACATATACCTAGGTAAGGTTTACATCCCTCATTCATCCATGGCACACATTTATAGATGGCAAAAGTCTATTGGTAAAGGATATAAATATATGTGCACATTTGAATGCAGATGATACCTTGTAATTGACACAATCTGAATGATTGCAGAGATTAACTAGATTGTGTGATGCAGTGAGGAACATGTGGTTAATGTATCAAAACCCAAGGTGGTTGTGTTTGACAGGGAAAATGAAACAATGAATTTCAGGTGATACAGATGAATTTGTGCATCATGATATTGTAATATGCTTTATAGACAAAAAATGTGAGGAGAATAGTTGTGGGTAGAAAATGGTGTGTTGAATGTTTGTTGAAAGAAGCAAAAATAGTTATGTATAAAACCAAGCTATTCTCCAGTTCGTTGCACAGGTAGTCCTTGACTTACAATCACAATTGGACTGGAACCTTAATCGTTGAGCGATGTGGTCAATAAGTGAGCTGTCACATGACTGTTTTGCTTAACGACTGCAATCCTGGCACTCATGGTTGTGGTCATTAAGCAATTTTGTGGGTCCTTAAGCCGATGGAGTCCACCGTAAGGAGTCAGAGTGCCTTTAGAAACAGTCAGACAGGGAGCATTTTCAGCCCCAGAGTGGAGAGAGAGGCAAGTCTCTCTGATCAGATTGGAATTTGGAGAGAGAATTGGATTTTGGAGATAATTTTCAGCCCCGGAGTGGACATTTTCTTTATAAAATCCAAGCAGGATTTTCAATCCCAGAGCAGAGAGACTTTCCCTGATGGCTTTCCCAGTGACTCTCTGGGGTAGCCATAAGGAGAAATTGCAAATGGTATCACATGATTGTGGAGCACTTGGTAAACCAGTTGTAAGTATAAATGGTTTGCCAAATGCCCAGATCTCAATCATATGACTGCAGGGGTCCCTACAGCAGCTGTAACTTTAGGGCAGCATTGCCAAGCTGCTGGCCCATGGGCCAGATGCGTCACGCCAAAACCGCACCCACCCCATTCCCGGCAATGGGGAAAAAGTTGCGATATGTCGCGACATGTCACGTGACGTTGCTTGACACCCCTGCTTTAGGGAACAGTTGTAGGAACTTTTGCTCAGCTACTTTGAATGATTGTTGAACAAATGGTTGTAAGTTAAAAGATTTCCTGTAAGAGTTTGTTATGTTGGTTGGAACATAATGTTTAACACCGTGAAAACACTGCTACATAATACTGCAGAACCTGAAAGATAATTATGAGTATGTACTGTATATGCTCAAAGTTTAATTTGATTTGCCCTGCTTTCACCTCAGGCTCTTAAAGGCATTAAATCTAGTTAGATATGAGCTTTCTGCTTTGTGACCTTTCATTTTAGCACTTCTGTTCTTTTCATACATCTTTGGAATGAGGTTTGTAGAAAAGAAATATTAAGTAAAAGGTTCAGGTAAAAACTGTATCTCCGGTGGCATCAGCATTAGGAAAAATGCCTTAATTATAGCAATATTTTTGCCTGAGTAGAGAATCTGTGTATGTATGAGTACACAGAATTGCTCCTAAAATCTTTTCTTTGTTCCAGGACTCCATTCCGGCATCTACCTTACTTTTTGGCAATGCTTCTGACAACACCTCAAATTCTTTAGCTCAAAGACTAGGTATGTATGTGCATGGATTTTTAAAACTTAACACAGGGAAACTGAAGAAAAAAAATCTTATGACCACATAGGTTGGGCTTAATTGACAGCCTTTGTATTTGCTGGGCACGATACAAGTTTTTTAAAAAATAATGGCCCAGATTTTATGGGATCATCATAAATCTTGTGAGCTTTCACCAATCTTTGAGCATGTTTATTTTTATTGTTTTAAATAAAGTGTGAGGAACTATGGCCCTTTTATGACTTGTGGACTTCAACTCCCAGAATTCCTGAGCCAGCCATGCTGGCACAGGAATTCTGGGAGTTGAAGTCCACAAGTGATAAAGGGGCCACAGTTTCCCACCTCTGCTTTAAATAATGCTGCTTCCCAGATAACACCTGGGGATATTGAAAGCAATTCAGTTCCTATTAAAAGTAAGCCTTTTATCCTGAACTCCCAAAATGTTATGTGGGGAATTTGTCCCAAATGTAAAGCAATTACTTCCCAAACTCACATCTGTCTTTATCAGCTTTGGAACTGGGAGAAACACATGATAGCATTTGATTTCTGCTATGCCTTCCTTCAAAGATTGATAGACTTGTGCTTTGTTTATGTTTTAGCCAGCAAGACTAAAAAACAGATTTTTGTCAGCTATAACATTCAAAATACCGACAGCGGCTTCATACTACTTGTAGAAAATCGTATCAAGGAGGAAATGGCAACTTTCCCAGACAAATTTTAGTTTGGGATAGTTACATATTTTGTTTTTCTAAGATTTTTTTTTTTTAAAAAAAGTCATGATTTTTTTTTTGTCGTTGAGTTATATATTTGGGATGGCAGAATGCATTGAGTTTGATTAAGCTTCTTTTTGAACTAATGAATTAATCTACATATATAATAAAAGGAAAGAAGTATTCAGCTCCTCAAATATTCCTGTTGGGAGAATATAGTGCAGCAACATTTGACAGATGTTGCCACCTACTGTTTCTGCTTGATATGACATAGATCTGTTTTGAATTTTCTAATCATACGGGATAGTTCTGTGGCATCCAATCAATGATAAAATGAATCTGTTCAGTGGGAAGTATCAGATTTGAAATGGATTCGTTGAAAAATATATGCCCATAGCAAACAAAGTCAAGGAAAAAGACTTAAAACTTAATAAATGTACAGTTTTATCAGCTTTCCTAGCAATTTTTAACGGAATGTACAATTGGATCAACTACTTTCCCATTTTATGGGCACCAGCGGTGAGCTGGCTTACATTTTTTTTCAGGAAAGGGGAAAACATCTAGAAGAACATCTGTGAGATGAGGCAGAAAAGGAGACACTGGCTCCTCAGAAAAATGAATGTCAATGTATAAAGTAAAATAGCTAGATGTAGAATGTATCATAAAGAAAACCATTTATGCTGTCAAATTAAAACAATAAACCAATATGTAATACTTACTGTATGTGCTTTGTGATTCATCCATTAAATCAATTACAAGACAAGCTACATTTCAGTTAAATTTAGTGAAATAAAGTTAGAATGTTTTGCTCATCCAGGTCTATGGACCCCCTAAAACCTATGCGCAGATTGCCAAGCGGCCTCTGGACCCAAAGTTAAAAATCCCTGGTTTACAGTGGAAATTTCAGTGAAAGGCTTGTAAGGAACTTGTGCTCCTTATGTCATATTGGCTAACTTTCACTGCAACTGAGAGAACAAGTTTAACTCTTATTTCTACAGAATTGCTGCATAATTCCTAGAGGCTATTTACTGTTTAGGGACAGTATTTACTTTTGCAGGGACAGGTTTGTGTTGTTTTTTGTTTTCCAGATCTCTAAAACCTATACTTAAGAAAGTCAAATCTACCCTGTTAGATAATGGCAAAAGTCTATTTAACCCAGTATTCTTTGCCTCAAGCTGCCAATCAGTTGCTCAAAATCAGATCTGACTTTTTTGTTTGGCTTTCGGGAGTTTTCTCTGAAAGTATAATAGCTGCATTAAAGGCATTGAAGACTTCAATAGCTGTTTTCCTTCTTATTCACATAATCCTGAATTTTAGCAGGGCATTCTTAGCAAGGCAAGGAGTGGCATGGTGGACTAGTGGTTGAAGTTGCTCACCTTGCACTTGGAAGGTTGAGAGTTTAATCCTAGCTAGCGGCAGACATTTCTGTCCTAGAGCACAAAGACAAAATATTTACTGCAAACTCTATGTAGGTATCAGGAAGGGCATCCGGCCAGTAAATGCTCAGCTTCATTTAGTCAACCTGATTCTACTCCGAATAGAAAAAAGGGAGGTGTTTGTGGCAAGGCAAGGGGTGGGGAGGTCTCTGTGGAAGCCCCCCCCCCCCAAGACAGTAGGGCATTTAGAGCTTGCCTGGTCTTGCCTAGATCTTAAGAGATCTTGCATTTCAGTGAGAGCTGTCTTGAGGAAAAGCCCAAAAGCAACTTTGGGCAAAGCAACAACATCTGTAATAGTGCAAAGTGGGGTAATGCCAACAAGACAGATGAGCACCGAGTCCAGCAGAAATGGAGCAACGTCTTTTATTCCTGTACATTTACATACAAAGTTGTTCAGTAGGTACAACGGGTGTAACATCATGCAGACATTTAGCTTTTAAGACTGTTCTTCAGTAGTTGATTGTTAAGCTTGTGCTATGAAGAAGCACCAACTACTCATGATAAAAAAAAAAGTACAGTAACAACGATTAGTCAAGAAAACATCATCAGAAATTGAGGGAAGGGGTGGGGATGTCATCCACTACAGACATAGCACACTACTCTGTTCCAAAAAGGTTTTCACACAGTACATTGAAAAAAAATGAGGTTTTGTTAACTTTAATTTAAAAAAAAAAATCAAGTGTGAACCATATTCCACACTTGTCTTTCTGTCCCACCTACAGATGCAACTTGGTATGACATTCAGAGTTCATTTTAATGGCACTTCTGAATTGGGTGACTTTTTTTTCTCTTTAGTTTGGCTTTAGCATCTGGCAACATAAATAGTTGGTAATTTAAACAAAAAAAAAAATAGCCAACAATTCAGAATATTCATAAGAATTCATTCTTACAATGATCCACAACAAGGTTCTCTACACCAGTGTTTCTCAACCTTGACAATTTTAAGGCATGTGGACTTCAACTCCCAGAATTCCACAGCCAGCATTGCTGGCTGTGGAATTCTGGGAGTTGAAGTCCACATGCCTTAAAATTGTCAAGGTTGAGAAACACTGCTCTACACCATTTTCAAAATGTTTTGATACAAGCGGCACAGAAAGACTTGTAATGTTCAATTTCGATCTGAACTTTCTGGCTATTAAAAAGGTCTCTAATACATTATTTTCAAGGCTACAAACATACCTACAAAAAATGGCTGAACTTGAATTACCGAAAGCAGAACTAGAAAAATTGAAGTGAACAGAACAGATACTGATGGCCTCCCTGTTTGGGTAAATATGAGGATTTCTTTCTTCCAGGGATAGGCAGCCTGCTAGAGGTTTCTAGCTGAAAGTCTGGCTGCCATGGTTCTTAAGATCTCCCCTGTGGTTTTCTATGAAACTGCCAAACAAGATATGCCATTTTTTTTTAATTTGGCAAGAACCAAGGATTTGATCTGTGTTCTGTACCAGTCAGTTTTCAGGCATTCTTGTGCTAAAGCTGGTCTTGAAATCTGTGCAACTAAGAGCATCCCTCCCCCTTTTGGTATATCCCATTGCAACAGCTTGTGGTGATGCTGCAGAAGCTGACCTGACAGAGCACATTCTGTGGTTCTGCAGATTGTTAAGCTTCAAGGCTGCTGCAGGGAAAGGGCGTAGTGGCACTGGTGTGTTGTTGCTTGGTCACCACAGGACAAAATGGCATCAGATACACGATCGGTCTCAAATGATCATTTTTAATGGAGCATTCAAGCCATTCTCACAGTATACAATGAGTATGGTAGTAGCAGTCAAACTCTACCCATGCTGCAGTATACGTGCAGACACAAGTTTCCTACCACTTCTGCTGAACCTAGACCCATTGAAAGGAATGGCCAGATGGCATACTCCCATTTGCAATGGGTGACGGTGTTCTTGTTGATCAACCTTTTCTAATCTATTAGAGAAAAATATTTTTAACTCTTTTTAAACTTGGATTTAATACATGTATTGCCATTCTGTCCCAAATGAACATTCCAACTGGCTTACCAGTTCAAAACAACAGGGAAAAAAACAGATACCACCCAGTTAAAGACAGCGTTGTGCTAAAAAGGTAAGGTGGAGCATGGATCTTCATGGTACATGACTCATTCTTGCTGATCTCCATTCAGTTTTGAAGAGCAGAAAGACCATAAAATCTGCTTTTCAGACTTAACAAGAAGAATGAAACTGTACACCATGTACCTGCAAAGTTTCGTACACACACTGGAAATACTAAAACATCAAAATCTTTGCTTGGTTTGTAATTTACTGTGGCTAGAATAAAGCCCAATAAATAAATATATCCAAGTCCTGTGTGACTGCCTGACAGTTTGTCAAAGTTACACACTTCTGGTTGCGTGTGTGCAATTAGCTCTAAATTAGGGGCCACCAATGTCTATGGATAGGCTAAAGCTGTAAAAACAGAAGACCTGCCCAAATGCTTGATAGGTTGTAATAGTTGATTTTCCAGAAACAACCTGGAGCCAAGTATGTAGTAGTCCAGTCTTAAGAAGAATACTTGAATGGGATGCTATGGAAAAATATTGCCAATGGTTTGCTATAAGCAAGCCCCCAGCAATGTGCAGTTTATTTTTGGAGGAGATAGCAGCAGAGACCCACAACTGTAACAAACTTCTGTGAGTCCTTGAAAATGGATCAAAGTTCAGGTAGGTCAAGCTCTATGAGTAGCCTTCATAATCCAGGGCTTCACTTGAGCACATTCAGTAGAGTCCTGTGGCCCAGTGGATAATTTTATGGGCATAAAATTTGAATTAGGTGTGCAATATTAATTTATTAGAAACAAAACTATCTTCAACAAAAATGCTGTGAGGACTCAACTGACATTCTTCAGTGAGGCAAATTGCAAGGTAAGTTGGGCACAAATAACAACACATTAATTCCAAATACCAGATACGGGCCAAAATAATAAAAAAAAGCATATCTTAAAAACAAACCTTTTTTTAAAAAAAAATATCACCAAGTGCTCCTCTCACCTTACAATATACAATCTTCAACCGCTCTCTCTCTGCTTGTTTGTAAAGTTAAGGAGCATCACATCAGAAAGTGGTGAGGATTGTAGGCGACAGAATGAACACAATAGGGACTTTGAACCATGGTAAAAAGCAAGAAATTCCCTATATTAGTGCATGGTTTGTAGTAAAGACTATATGTACAGGAGTGGGGAATTAAAAAAAAGCTACTCCACAGCATACAGACTGCAAAAGTGCTCTGCGTTTACTTGGAGCCTGGATGTCAATAATAAATTCCCTTCCCCAAAAACACACAAGGCCCCACTCCACTGAAAAATAAATTTATACTAGAAACTTGCTGTTCCTGATATATCACTTATAACAAGCATCATATAAAAGGCAAAAGGCGTCACACAAATTTGGCACATGAATACTGCACAATTCAAAGGGCCTTACAGTATTTTTTCAATGTGATGTCAAAGAGATTAATGGAGGAGGGGTGGTCATGTTGTTAAAACCAGACAGGTTATTAGAGTGTGCAAAAAAAAAAAAAAGTTCTGGAAAAACAAGTTCTACTGAGGTGAACACAGCAGTAGCAACTGAGGGGGAAATCCACAGTCGTGACGCTGAACAACCCAGTTGCTTTATGTTTCCCTCCTCATCAGAGTGTTTACAAAGGATTCCCCCATGCTTTTCATTCTGTGTATGAGAGTTAGCAGCTTTATGATATTATTTCTCTTTTCAAGTATTTCAAAAGTCTCATCTCTTCTGCAGAACCATTTTGCCCATCAACATTGGAAGCTGTGTGATACTTGCTAATGGATGCAGGTCTATCTACACCAGAGGTGGGAAACGATGGCCCTTTTATGACTTGTGAACTTCAACTCCCAGAATTCCTGAGCCAGGAATTCTGGGAGTTGAAGTCTACAAGTCATAAACGGGCCATGGTTCCCCACTTCTGATCTACACAAAACAAATGTGACAGGAGAACGAAGAAGATACACAGAGAAGTCAACAGACAATATAGAGAAAGAAAGGGGCATAACAAGGATGGGTGCACAGAAGTGGGTCCTTACACTTTACCCACAAAGGCAAAATATACATCAAACAAAATGACCACCAAGTGAATACATCACACCAAATTGGCTGCTGTGTTCGTTTAAATGGCAGTCCTGTCGGGCAATCAGTCGCGGGATGGTGATGTTAGTAAAAAGGGAGTAGGAATAGTTTAACTAGCCACAAGTTCAGATCATCTTGCGTGAAGCTGACTTTGTGTGACTCTTGCGTAAGAAGCACTGCTGAAACAGCCAAGGCTTGAGCAAGAGCTGAGATTTAAATAGCCAGCAGATATTATTGATGAATCTGTGGGAAAAAGGAAGGAAGAGATGTTCTGTTTCATTAGCTTCCTGCTCTTAAACGCAGCTGATGCAGAAGCAGATCTTGCTGAGTTTCAAGAGCAGTTACCTTCAGGTTTATTTAGGACCAGGGAGCTAAGAATCTGTTTTCAACCCCAGTAATCATATGGGTCTTGGCTTTTATTTATTGTAGGGTAAAAAGGAAGAATCCTACAAGAGCACTTTGGATTTTGTGTTGGTGCACTTATGGTGGCCATTTTGTAAGGTTTCAATAGTAAAAAGGGCAGCTGGGCTGACAATATATGCAACCTAGAAAAACCTACTTCAGATGTCACATGGAGGGCGCTCCAAAATCTTCTTAAAGGGGCCTTTTCAATTGCTTGCTTGTCAGTTTTACCTATATTTTACCCCCTAAACTTGATCTTTAAGTCATTGCGTTCATCCATCAGAATCAAATAGTCCTTAGAACAAGGATGATGATGTTGGGGCTGGCTAGAATCCCAGCCCATGGCTTCTGGAACAACCAGTAATTATTTTGCCATCATTTCCCCCCTTTCAGCTTGGAGGTAATTTTCTAAAAAGCACTACTTCGTTCTTTCAAAGTTAAAAAATAATTCTGGATAGTGTTTATTATTGAGTAGGGCCTTTTGAAATGGCTTCTTGTTCTTAATTAGCAGACTTTTAAAAGAAGCATCAATAAAGATCTTTCCCACTTAAAAATCCTATCCATTTAACCTTTTCTTGGAAAAAAATTACCTCTGTGTGCAGTGCTTTTTTTTTTTTTTTTACTGTAAACAGCAATTTACATGTGGATTCCTCAACTTCGAAATTAAAAGCTGTTAAAAATATCCTAGGGCCTCTGATGCAAACTTTTCTTTCTGATACTTAAAAGCACAGTTGGAATTCAGCTTTATGTGCACACTTTCACAGTAGGTAGGACTAGGACAGGGGTAGGCAACCTTGGCTCTTTTATGATTCGTGGACTTCAACTCCCAGAATTTCTGAGATAGCATAGCTGACTCAGGAATTCTGGAAGTCCACAAGTCATAAAAGAGCCAAGGTTGCCTACCCCTGGACTAGGAGATTGGAAGGAGGAGATATTAATTATCTGGAGAGATCAAGGAAAAAAAAAGATGATTCAAAATGTCAGTAGCCAACAAATTCATTGTTGCAGCAAGAGATGCCTCATACCTCTAGTAAAAACAAAACGAACAGTCAAATGAAACCAAAACCATACCACCTCATGATTTCTTTCCTGGAATGGTTGCTTTTCTTGAGAGTAACATGGCTTCATGTTTATGGTCAACAAGAGAAGAACAGAATAAAGTGCTTCATGGGGAAAATCATCAAAATAAATAGAACTATTTCATGGCAGGAAGAACATAAATGGACAGTGATCTCCAGCCAGTTTTTTCTGAAGATGTATTCCCCCCCCCAATAACTGTGCCCAAAAGCAATTTGTATCCCCATCACAGATTCCTAGAAGTGGCTTTAGCAGCAGAGTCTAATTTCCCTGTATGTATCCATCCCTTCTCACTGGTTTGTAAATCTTGGATGAGAAGCAAACCCACAGCTAAATGCTCCTGCCCCTTCTCCTCCTACATTGCTTTCATCCCGTTGGCAGTGACGGTCTCGGTCACCCCATCGTTCGCGGTTGCCGAATCATGGAGGCCAGAGTAATCTTTAAGTTCAGAGTTCGTCAGCAGCAGGGGCTGCTCCCCCTTCTTATGCGGTAGGAGAGGCTGCCGGGTATAATGTTCACCATCTGGAATGTTCTCTGGCAGCCTCTGGTTTTTGCTCTCGGGCAAGAGGAGAATGCAGATAATGCAGATGAGGGTGCAACAAGCAAAAATCACATGGTGGAGGAAATAGCCTTTCTGGTTGTGCAGTTCCATGATGGGCGCGGTCAGCATCCCAAAGCCCGCACTAGCCAGGACAAGGCCAAGGCCGCCACCCCTGTGGAAGCAAACATAGTTCTTCAGTATAGGCCAATTGTCCAAGAAATATAATAATACAGAATAGCTATGCCTGGGCACCTGCTTTCCTGGTATAGTCCCTCCTTATCTCTGAATAGGGCTACTTTATCTAATATTTTTGTTTAACATCAAATATATAAAAATGTGGGGGTTTTTTTAACACCAAAAAACTAAACACAATTTGCAACCATTGAAGGATTACACTAAAACTATAAGAATATGGAACAGAATCCTTTAATTACTTAACTGAATTATAATAATGATGGCAACTAGTCATCTCAAACAATTTTTCCAATATCTGCCCGGAATATGAAAGTCACCCAACTGTATCACTGAGCTCAATAGAAGCCAAGGAACTAGTCCTTTTACCTATTGACTTTTAAAATATATTTGGTTATACAGTACAGGAAAGAACCAAAGATGGACCATAGCCAAGCCTGAGAACTTACGTACACTTGTTCTTCTTCTGCCAAGGTTGGCATGGGTCATAAAAGCAAAAGGAGTAACTGATTGGCTAATAAGTGACAATAACTGACAACAACTTGCAACAGCAACAGTCACGGAATCCGAACATTTCCTTTCAAGAAATATTTTGAGAACTCAAATGAATTTTTTACTCAAAGTCTTATTGTGCCAAGTCTGTTACTTAGATGTTTAATACTCTCTATCCCTGTGATTCATTGTATATGTATACTTTGTACATCTTTGAATAAAACCAAATGGTTGCATATACGGTAGGTGAAAATTACTTCATAACTCAGTTCTAGCAATAATCGGCAGAAATGAGAAAGTTTCACAATAAACTGTTATGCTGTCTGCTTTAAATCTGCATTTATCAGGTAATGATCCAAAAATAGGCAAAATATGTTATTAAAACTAGTAGAATAACTTAAAATGCCCTCCCCTTTTCTGTGTACTTTGTATGTGGGCATGCATTAAGTATTCTTCTGTTCTACTGATAAATCTTTGTTTTCTATCCTACCAAAAACAAAAACTTGGAATTTATGTAATTCTTTGTGTTATCACTAGAGAGCAAGCTTTCCTCAAATTTATTTTACAGGCAATATAAAAGCAAGGAGCCGGGTTACTGAAAAAGATATGCTGATGACAGGCTTCTTAACCAGCATGTCTGCTCACTCTTCACTGTCACATTTTATATCCACTGTAAATTTGAAAGTCCTTCAGGAGCTTTCATTTTTTTAAAAAAATGTTCCTTTTAGTTGATGAATTAAGTACCTATGAATGTCTAGTAGACCAATGACAATACTGGCCTGGATCCAAATATAACAAATGCAATAACAGAGGCTTTTATCACATGCAAACTCACTGATTTCTAAAATATATATATATATTTTCTAAATGTGATTTTCTGGATTTAACACATTATTCAGAATAAAACCATTCTTTGATCAAACAGTGGAAGACAGAACAATTTCTATTTCCATACTCTCCATGAATTCAGATACTTTTGTTGCGTCCACATTTACTTATCTTTTATCTAAGGTCAGCCTCCAAAGTTTTTTTTTCTTTTTGTAAGGAAGGCACCAAATAAATGTATTTGCCCTTTTCTCCATCGTTCTTTTATCTCTCGGTAATTCTCCTCTTGAGATCTCACATTTCATCACCTTTCTATCACACTGTTTCATCTCCTGAAATTCAGTCTGTGGAATTTATTATCTATTGGCTTCTAGTAATGCTTAAAATCAGGAATCTGTACTAATATATTGGCTTTGTCAGGATTCCAAGATAGGCTTATTTGGTGAAAAATGTTTTTATTTATATATTCACACTTTAGGGAGTTTCCAAAAGCTGCTCCTATACTTTCATGAAATATACACGTATATTTCAGTGGAATATGGAATATGAATGAGAATCATGCCCAAGTAATTTCAGGGATTACTCTCTCATACAGCCTAAATCAGGGGTAGGCAATCTTGGCTCTTTTATGACCCATGGACTTCAACTCCCAGAATTCCTGAGCCAGCCACACTGAGGGGAAAGGGAGAGGTTTCCTGGCTCAGGAATTCTGGGAGTTGAAGTCCATAAGTCATAAAAGAGCCAAGGTTGTCTACCCCTGGCCTAAATGCTCTCTCTCTCATCACTTTCTGAAATTACTTGGGAATGGATTCTCTTTCAGCTTCCTTTGATTTTTCTGCTTGTCCTCTTTGTACAAGCAACAAAATAAAGGGCAAAATAAACGCAGGTTTTTCTATCAGGAATGAAGAGAGAAAATGTGGTATAGTGATGAAGGTGCTGGACTAAAAACAAGGAGAGCCAACTTCTGGTCCTCCCCTGGGACAGAACTATGACCTGGGGCCATCACCCTCTCCATCCAAATCAGTAAGGCAGGTGAAAAGCACAGTCCTTGTCACATCACACACTGATAAGCTTCACCGAAAGATAGAGGCGAGTGTAGTGCAAAACAAGTGGGCTGTACAACGGAGCACACAAAAGCTAAGAAGAACAGATTCTTAGCTGAGACATTTTCGATTCTGTTCCTTTTGCCCAGAATCCAATCTGGGCAAAGAGATTGAAAAATGTTTCAAATGGGAAAGGCACAGAGGAACACAGTTTCTTAACACATGTGCTCTTGCTGTACCTTTTTCTTCCCTTATAAATATCTCATTCTATTAAAAAGAATTCTCCTTTCAGTAACCAAAATACACAGTTATTTCACACACAGAAAAATTACTACAGGAGGTTTAGAGTATTCACTTTGCTAAGTATTTGAAAGCATGCTTATTATCAGCCCCTTGCAATGGGGAATTAGGATTCTTCGGAGATGTTTAAGTGCTTAGCAGCTAGGAGGAGGAAAAAGCAATCAGAATTAGAGGATCAGCATCTATCTTGGGTGGAGAATTATGGCCCTTTTATGACTTGTGGACTTCAGCTCCCAGAATTCCTGAGCTAGCCAGGACACCCAGAATTCTGGGTGCTGAAGTCCACAAGTCATAAAAGGGCCATAATTCTCCACCCAAGAGAGATACTGATCTTCTAATTCTGATTGCTTTTTCCTGCTCCTAGCTGCTAAGCACCTGAACATCTCTGAAGAATCCTAATTCTGAGGTTCCTCACCTCTGATCTATCTGAATGGATGAGACTATCAAAGGATCTCTACACTTTAGTCTGAAGTTGTTCAGACTAAACACAAGTTTTAATAAATGTCATGAATTGTCCCTCTAGTCAATATCTTTGATTTTTGAAAGTTTAAAAATGTTTTTATGAACTTATCTTCATCAAATTCAGAGCCAGTGAATTATACAGCTGAGGGAAATTAACAGGAAAAATCACACTCAGAGACACAATTTTAACGATGATGGTTTGTTGTAAAGGATAGGGTATTGAGAAGATTTTAGATTATGGTACTTCAATTTGAGTTATGTCGTTCTTGAAAATCAAAGTGGGCTTATATCCCAAAATAAACCTAAAAATATTTTCCTAATAACTTTAGTAAGAAAATAATTTAATATTTTATTCCCTTCAATTTTTTCCTTTTATCGAACTTAATCCTCTCCCCTCCAATATTAATTTGATTTACTACAAAGTTATGTAATAACACTTTGCAAAAATTGTATATCCATCTAATATTTACAATGCTCCATACTACAGTATTTATGATAATAATACAGATGCAAAATCTAATATAACTGATAATATCTCATTTGCTGCAGGCAAAATAACAACAATAATACATTTGTTAAAGGTATTGGAACAGCTTACATTCCATGATAATATCTTTAATACATCCACATTTGCCTATCCCAGGTATAAGGTCTCCTGCTTGAGCAGGGGGTTGGACTAGAAGACCTCCAAGGTCCCTTCCAACTCCATTAGACTGCTATTCTGTTAGGTCCTTGAGAAGGACTTGATAGATGGATAAAAATGCCAAATCCAGTCTGAACGTTTGACTGACTGCTTGACAAACAACAACAATAATAGCAGTAGGAGCAGGAAAACTGGTACTACCTGGAACAATGCATACATTACAATTCCTTTAACTATCCTAAATGTTTGGAAAAGATCTGACAGTCAAAAGTACGAAATCCAGTCAGAGATATCTGGATGGACAAATAGACTGAGAGGGATGATTGGTCCCAAGGCCAACGTACCATGGGACAACTTGCCATGGCCAATTCGCAATGGGACAATTTGCTGCAGGACAATTCAACAATTCAACTTAATTATTTAAAATAATTAAAACATTCTTTAAATTTTTGTTATTCGCATTTAATTTTGTCCCTCCTTTGGCACCCTTTCTTTAATGCTTCTATTTCACTATTTCTTCGATATTAGTGTAACTTGTGGCAAGTTGTCCCTCAGCGAGTTGACCATGGCGAACTGTCGTAGACCTGACTGGTCCAATGTTACCCAGATGGCTCATATGCCTATGGGATGACAAGGTCCTGGGTCTCTCTCCAAGCCTAGTCAGTCCCTGAACCACTACACTACATTGCCTCTCCTTCAGTGTAGCTTCCTCTGCAGATTATACCCACTAGACCAGTGGTGGAAAACCTATGGCACGGGTGCCAGAGGTGGCACTCAGAGCCCTCTCTGTGGGCATGCGTGCTGTCGCCCCCATCCTAGGCCTTCAGCTGGGTTTTATAAAACCTTTTTGCTTTAGGCCTCCGCTTCTCGCAGGAAAAAAAAGATCTTGCAAAGTTGGAACTGATTGATTGAACTTTTTAGTCCCACCCAGTCTGCCGTTATCACCGCAGCTATGCCCACCCAATGGGCCACGCCTACCCAATTGGCCACACCCAGCCAATGGGCCACACCCACCCAGCACTCGATGATGCATAAGTGGGTTTTGGGTTGCAGTTTGGGCACTCAGTCTCTTAAAGGTTCGCCATCACTGCACTAGACCATGGGGTCGACCGCGAACGTGATCGTGTCAAGTGACGTGTCATGATGTATCGTGACATTTTTTGCCTTTGCGGAGCCAGGGTGGGCGTGGCCTGTGCATGATGCATCTGACCTGCGGGCCGCCAGTTTGACACCCCTGCGCTAGATGATGCAAGATCTCACCAAAGCTGTGATAGTCACAAAGCGCCCGGCAGCAGCCACCAAAACCTGGACAGAGCATTCAACCCCTAGCAATAAAATTATGAAATCCACCTTTATTTTATACAAAAATCATTATACTTTTGTCCAAGGAGCTCAAGCCATCACATAGCCCTCCAAGAAACAATGCCTCGTGTTCTTCCTTTTGCAACAGCACAATGACTCTGCAAATCACATGGTGGCGAGAGGGAGTTTCCTAATTTTAAAATTTACTGATAAGAGAATATTAGAACAATGCATGCAACAATTTGATGCCATCATTATGAAGTGTACATATTGCTTCTTATGTAAACACTCCTGTAATGGTCCACCACAAAAGTGTAAACAATAAAACAAGCAGGTAAAAAGAGCTAACAGGACATGCCAAATGTTTGGTTTGCCAATAATCTGAAGAACACTATGGTATGGAGAAGACATTTTAAAAAGTATACAGTTGTGATGATCCCTTCAAAATCAGCAATTTGATTGGACTAGAAGACAAGGACTAAGGAGAAACAGATTAAACTTTCTATTAAACTAAAAAGCTTCCTGAATATTTTTTATTATTTTTATTAAGCCTGTTAATTCATTGGTAACTGAAGCCTTCGCTGTTCCCCCAGCTCAAATCATTTTATGAGGCTCAAAGAGATACTGGGAGAACTATGTACACTGACTGGAATATAGGTGAAACAGAAATAAAAGAGAGATGCAGAGGACAACTGGAGAATAACCTCAACCATTTCCAACTATAGCAAACAGTAGCCAGTTTTCCTTTCATTACCTTAAAAGCAGGGGTGTCAAACTTGCAACGTCACGTGACGTGTCGCGATGTATCACAACTTTTTTCCCATTGCCGGCAATGGGGTGGGCGCGGTTTCGGCATGACGCATCCAGCCTGCGGGCCGGCAGTTTGACACCCCTGCCTTAAAGGAAGAAACCTACTGTATGGACTAATCACAGGTGGTATGCAAAACAACAAAACAATTGTCCTTACCAGTTTTTGGAAGTTTACATAGCAATCAAAAGACCTAGTTGCCCCCAAATATATCAACCCTAAAACTAGTTGATCAAAGGATCAACTTCTACATAAGGGTGGAATTTCAGAAATGTCTTCCCTTCCTAGAATGAACTCTTATCAAAATACCTTATTACTGTTGGGGTGATCTCTGCGCAGAAGAATACACTGAGGCTTCCAACTGCGTGCGATGAAAACATCCCCACGATGGAAAACGCAATGGAGAATTTGTCCTTTACGGTGTCACTCATACCTGTTCAGAAACATGAAAATATGCCATTTGAATTCGGCTCTCCAGGACCCACAGCTCCCTGTTTTCAAAGTGCCACAACTGTTGGCTCTTGTTGTACTCATTTAGGAGAGTGTAATGAAGAGGAATTGTAAGGCAACATGAGGGCCACTATGCACTTCCTTTTGCCTTTGTGAATTAGAGATATGTGCCCAAGGGTGGGAGAAAAAAAAAACTTGGAATGTATCTGACAGTGATGGGATATGTAACATATTTATTTGAGTTAAAATGACAAGCTGTAAGAATGCCCTTTTTGTCGTTTTTGAAATTGTTGACTGAATCTCATCCAAAGAGGGAGGGGATTTGGTGCCTTTGAATCAGTGTTGACTGCTGATGACTGCCTGGACTAATTCCTGCAGTTTTTCTTGGCAAAGTTTTGGAAGTGGCTTGCCATTGTCTTCTTCCCAGGGCTGAGAAGGTATGACTGGTCCAAGGTCACCCAGCTGGCTTTGTGGCTAAGGTGGGACTAGAACTCACAGTGTCCTGGTTTCTAGGCCAGCACCTTAACCGTGACACCAAACGAGCTCTCTTATCTCTCAACTGAAGTACGGAGAGATAAACCTGCTTTTTACCACCATGGCACTGAAAATAAAAGTGACCTCCCATTCTCATTAATATGATTAATCTAAACACACAAAAAAAACACGCAGGTGAAATATGCCTTTGGGCTCAAGAAATAGATACTTCTATGCCATTAAAACCAAGGCTGTGCAAATGCAGGAACTGAGGCTGTCCAAGGATGTGCTCCCAAAAAGAGACTCAGCCAGGGCAAAGTCTAAACTTGATTCAATTAAATTTACATTTGATTAAAATTACACATTAATATTACAGATGTTGTTATAGTTCAGTGTTTCTCAACCTTGACAATTTTAAGGCACGTGGACTTCAACTCCCAGAATTCCACAGCCAGCATTGCTGGCTGTGGAATTCTGGGAGTTGAAGTCCACATGCCTTAAAATTGTCAAGGTTGAGAAACACTGTTATAGTTAGTTAGTTATTTCCCATATGTTTGATGTTTTCCCCCATTTTGTTGCATGGAATGCTGTGAGAGCTTGGAGGGGGTGGTGCCTTGACCAAAAGATTTCTGCCTGTTCACCTGATTTAAAGCATGCTTGTTGAGGAAGTTAAAACACAATAACAAGTAATATTAAATGGAACCGATGGATAAAAGCTACGCTGAAATAAGGGGGAGATATGGGTGAAATAGGATTTCCTCAAAGCTGGCTAACAGTGCTTAAAATGGTTGAAATGTACAAGAAGGTTCATTAACATTAAATAAATCACATTATAAAATTGATCTGGAAACTGTACCTGAGTCTGGAAGTTGACTGTATTTTCCTATCACTGGATTCCGAACGATAAGAAGATTAAAACATGGGAAACAGAAAAAGAAAAAAGAACATATGAAGAAAAACACTCATCTAATAACAGTTGTTTTAAAAAGTTACAGTGTAGAATTGCTCCTCTAATTACCCCAGCACATTTGTTGTTTAATGATTTGATAAAGTGGAAATATATTGTTTTCCCAGATGGCCTGGCCTGCCGTTTACCAGATAAAAAGATAGAATTTAATGAGATGATAACAGCGAACTGCATAATGGTGAAGGATTCCAGGCCCAGAATTAATGCAAAGGCTCAACAAAAGCGTTTATATTGATAATGTAGGGAAAATAGAGAGAGAAAACCAGACAGAAACAGATTCTGTATTAAAAAGCAAAACTCTTGAGAATTTTAGGCATGTTTTACTGGAAGGGACCTCCCACAAAATCCTGTTATTGTAAATCTTAGGACTCAACCTTTCGTGAATGCCTTCAGGTGGAAACTGATCCCTACTTCTTTTCCTGTTTCTCAAGACATCTTTGGGTTATTTCAATATTATTTTATGCAACACTATGTATATTATATACAGATAGGTAACGTATACAGATATATTATATTACACATCGCTATGTAATCTAACCGGATATAAAATTTTACAGAGCTGCTTTGCTGTCATTTGCATTTATATGAAGATAACATTTCCTTGGAGTTAAGCTTGACCTGTGGATAATATCCATGCAGTTGAAAAACAGAATGGAAGTTATTTGTTATTGTCTTCTTCCAAAGAAGTATTTCCCAGTCTACCCTAGAGACTGGAACTCTCTAATGTTCTTCCTTCCATGTATGAAATGTCCACAATCCTGCTTAGATTCTGAGTCCGTAAAAAACATCCATATCCATCTGCTAAGAGCTATATGTGGTATCTTCAAAGTTTGATGTAGGCATAAATCGCATGGAGCTTCTGTTAGGATATGCCTTCCAAAAGCCTAGTGCCCTATTTCATTATATCTGTCATCCACAGAATCACCTGATTAAAACAATCTCAGAGGCATTATTAAAAAAACACACAAGGCCAACATTAATTTAGACTTTGAAAAGAGAAATGGTATTGGACTAAAAGTAGAGATTAAAGGTGAATCTGGGTCACTATGATCTGCTAATGGTTAGTTATAGATGAGGATTTTGTGGGATCTCACAATCTCAGCATCTGCTCGTCAGCCAAATTCAAATTAACACAAAAGTAGTTGAGATGTCTTCCATTAAAAGTAACATAACGTCTAAGTCCCAGAATAGTTCTGGCAGAGATGGAAATGTGTCATCAGCCAATATTTTCTTTCTCTCCAATCTCTGAATTTATCCAGACTAGACACAGACTATGCTAGAAAATGAATCTTGCAGAGATGCAAGATTTGGCTATATGTGATGCAATCTAAACTGTGCAACTGAACTACAAAAAATGACAACCTTGAATAAAAAAGAGATGGATATAACTAGCAACTTGCATGACATAAAACCACAATTACAAGGGGCGCAACTATCACTTTATAATTTGGTCTTTCTCTCAGAAGGAAGCATTTGGAGTGTCTGAGCACATTGCATGAGCCTTCTAGCTAGTGGGATGTCAGTATTTTGGCTTAGAAGGTGGTATCCAGAGATCCTAGCCTGCATAGAGTAGTTTGCCATACCTAGGATAAAACTGGCATTTGTGGTACCCGGACCAAAATACCTAAACCAAATATACAAGTGTAGAGAAGTAGTATTTGGTAATAGACATTTGATGTGAGGAATGAAAGGCTATCAAAAGAAGTAAAAATGGCTACATATTGGAATGTGCTTCTGCTTCGTATATGTGAGAATAGAGCAGGGCAAGGGAAACACAGTGTAAACTGAATGCAGTGGAAATAGGGTTCTTAGTGTGCATGCAAAAGAAGAAAAGATTGGGTCAGGATTGAGTGGGTGGTGACTGAATGTGGACTGAATACAAAACTCAATGAGCAGTATGACAAACGTATGTTGGTGGTTTGGTCATGCAGAGAATGCAAAACAAATCACAAAGCAAATATATGAAGAGGGAATGGATTGAGAGGAAAATGAAATCAAAGAAAGTCTTGCTTGGATAGAGTTCAGAAAATCGTGAAAATTTCTCAGGAACAAAAGGCAATGTATGAAGAAGTGAATGGATATGGTAGACGTGAGGAATGTTTGCAAAGAAAGAAAGATATGGAGGAATGTAGGGAATGATGTTGACGTACAATAATTCAACTATGCTTCCCTTTCTTTTCATTTATCACGTACTTTTAATGTAAGTTTACTTGTTTAACGTGTCATATTTTTTTTCTGAGCTTTGCATGATGCTTTCCCCCAAAGGGTAAGATATATATGAAAGGCTCTGTAATTGAAAATGAGTTTGCCTAGGAAGCAAATGGAGAAACCAGAGGAATTAAAAAGGCCTGCTTTGTTTTGTCACAATGAGATCCAGTCTGTTTATTCACACTCCAAGTTCTTAGAATTTTCTGCCTTTAATTATAAAATGTTATAATTTTAAAATATAATGCTGGTGACAGTGTGACTCAATTGTAGCATATGGATAACCCTCAGAAATATAAGATGAAGGAAGTCTCCATTGGAAGAGACTTGATACAGGTAATCCTTGTTTAGCCACCACACTGGAGCTGGCAACCTGGTTGTTAAGTGAAGTGGTTGCTAAGTGAAATCGTAACTGTGCTTATGATGTCGCTTCTGTTTTCCTTTGCTTTACTGACCTACAGAGGTTGTAAATGCTAGATTGTTCATTCAGTCACTTTTCCATCCCTGACATAACTGCAACTGGTCACTGAATGAGGTAGTTATTAAAAGAGGATTACCTGAAGTGGAAGTTATATAGCAAAACAGCAAGGATGGCCTAAGGCTGTATCGTGCCTGAGGCACGCTCCAAATAAAGTAGCCAGTTAGATGCAAGGCCTTCTTTACTTCAGCCCACAAGCAATGGGCCAGCATCCTCCATGTAACTGATAGCTAACATTAACTTCAACGGTGCAAGTAAAACTGCATAATACACAGTATTTTTAACATTTTGCTACTGCTTCACCCACTCCTTTCTTCAGCATCTGTCACCAGAGTCAGCTGCTTCATTTTGCTTAATGACAGAGCCCTCTATATCAGGGGTCTTCAAACCTGGCCCTTTTATGACTTGTGGACTTCAACTCCCAGAATTCCTCAGCCAGGCACGCTGTCCAAGGAATTCTGGGAGTTGAAGTCCACAAGTCATAAAAGGGCCAAGTTTGAAGACCCCTGTTCTATAACCTTGCTAGAAGTTAAATTGGGAAGATGGGCGATCAACTACAATCAAGAAGACAAGGTAATATATAGAAGCTATATTAAGCTTTGTAAAAAGAAAGGTCTAAAGAAATATACACATTTGCATTGTTCCTTCTCTTCCCCCCCTTTTTTATTCATAATCAGGGCTTGTGATGGTTCTCTTATCTTTCTACATACAGACTAAGCATAGTAATAAACCTGAAATCCTGAGGTAATCTGAAAGTCAGGGTCCAGTGAATCTGAACTAAGCTTTGCACTAGCTGGATGCTGACACTCACAGTTGAGAAGGCCCAGTTGTAAAAGAGAAGCCAGAGCAGTGAGGATCATGAAGAGCAGGAGACCCCCTCTTCTTCCGAGAAAACCAACCACTGGGCACATAGCCAGGCAGGACACCAGAGTGATGCTGGCCATGGTGTAATAGTCCGCATAAAAATTGTTGGTGAAGGACATCTTATCTTCATGACCCATCATACTCTTTGCAAAGCAGTGATGTATTCCATATCCCGTCAGCCTGTGAGAGACAACATGTGACAAATAAGAGGAACCATTCCTTTATGACCACACAGCAAATGATTACTTAGAACTATCAGGCTGGACTTAGCCCAATCCCAAAGAAATAGGTTTGTTTTTTAAAGAATCTCAGGGGGAAACGGGACCCTGAATGATGTAGTTCTTCCATTTGCTTGGGATGCCAGGACCTAATTTATCTTTACCAAACCAGAATTATTCTAGAAACATCTAGGAGAGCTTGTGGACCTCTACGTGCCAAGACTTAATATGCAAGCAACAGTGCCATGCAATTCAAACCACCTACACGAGAAGTCTCTCTCCTGTGGAAAAAAACAGTTGCAATATCCAAGCAACTTGCTACAAGAAAAGTACATAAATAAACGTGGTTCTCAAAGGTTTGCTTAGATTCATGATGGAACAATAATTCTGCTCAATATATCTGTACTGAGCAGAATTATTGTTCCATCATGAATCTAAGCAAATCTTGGCATGGAGCAGCAGCAATTTGCAATTAGTAGTACCTGGTAGGAATAACAACAACAACAACAACAACAACAACAGTAATAGTAGTAGTAATAATAATAATAATAATAATAATAATAATAATAAT